AGAGTGATGTTAATAGCTATTATTTAAATAAAACGAAAGAAAGACAATTTGATTTTATGTAAAAATAACTTGTAGTTGTGTGCCTTATCTATTTAGCATATAATCAATGCTTCCCTCTTAGGCATCAAAAAAGGGCCGAAAAACCCCCCAAAACGTGCGAGGTCCTTTACCGGTCTTAAAATAATACCCATCCCATAAGTTGGTTGGCGATTAGACCCATATATAGGTCGCAAAATAAAACGCATGACAATAAGATTGATCAAAAGGTCTCATTTTAAGACCTATGTATGGGTCTAATCACCAACCGATTTATGAGGTCTTATTTTAAGACGCATCTTTTTTTAGAGTGCAGTATATGAACTACTGTTTTTCGTCTCATTAGGAACCTCATCCAAGTGATTTCTCCTTTTGTCATTGGAATATACTTTATAACAAGTAGTTTTTGACGCTGATTACGAATTTCATATTCGTTTGTGTCTTAGATCCTTCTTGGACGAACTTACAGAAACCGGATTTCTAGAGAATCAGTATGAACTTTCATTGAGACACTTTCTAATGCTATCAGATTGTATTACACACCGAGTTACCAGGCCATAGGCACAGGAATACCATAAGATCATAGAAAAAACATCATAGCGTTTTGAAAATACAATTTAAAGTTATATATTCAGATAGAGCACGTTCAATTATCTCTAAGAAAAATTAAAGGATTGTTTTACGTGTTATCTTAAAATTTCAATTTGCGATAAAAGTGACTTTTATTATTGAATAGGCTGTAACTTGACAATCATCTGTTATTCCTACTGAGACACTGCCTCTCATACGTATAGAAGTGTGAGAAAACATCCGCTTTAATTGTTTTCAATAGCTGTGATTTTTTAATTTTTTTATAATGAACTGTTCAAGTTAAAAATGATCATACTGTGCGCAACACTCACCATATGTAACGTTTCTATCTCAATTTTGTTGTGTGATAGTCTATAACTACTACTAGTACTAAATATGATAATATTTTCAATGGGTGTTAAACAGCCGTTCAAGTAGTTTAATATAATGTGGTAGCAGATTATACACGCACGTATACATAACATCCTCTTTCCCCTCCCGTTCTCCCCTTTTATCCTTTGTAAAGATGAAAATTTGTTTATATGTTATATAACAAGACCGGCGCCAGTACTTTTAGATTAAAATAAAGTGAAAAGGTATTTTTTCCACGTTGTAATACAACCCAAACCAGTTTGCTACGTAAACAGTTGGAATAACTATGTTATTCTCAATGTCGATAGTTGATATTCATCTTTCTTTTGGATGATAGCCGGCACTTAATACTCCTTTAAACTTAAATAACAATAAACTGATAAGTCTTTTGATGAACAAACTGCATCCATATCACGTATCTCGATTGTTCATCTATATCAAGTAAATATAGAAAATAGTAGTAGTAGTTCGTATACAAAATCAGTAGATAAATGAAATAAATTAGAATATAGTCCATGATTTATGCTGTAGAAAACTGATAAACAAAATGATGAATTTATACTTAAAAATGATAAACATCTTAGAACAGAAGAACAAGAAAAGAAAAATTTATTGATCTGATTACTCAGTCAAAAAATAAAATCTTAGTCTTTTTAGAGTCTCAATAGATTCACACATTTTAAGATACCTACTACAGAGTAGTAGTAACATTTTTTGTGTATACATGTACTATACAGATGCATTTTTCCATATAAAAGATAAATCTTATGAATTTTATTTCAAGGTCATAGTGCACACTTTGTTTGTTAATTTTTTTTTTTTTTGTTTGTATTCTGAAAAAATATTTATAATTTTATTTTGGTCAAGTTGATGTTGTCCTTGTAAGTTACATTACATCATATCGGTTCATCCAGATCGTTTTGAGTTAGGAAATTTTTTTTTTTATTTAATTCACATTTTTTTCTTCTTCTTGTGAATAAAATAGCCGTTAGCGATTACAACTGTGTTCTCTCTCTATGTATGGTGACAATTGAATTATTCACTTTATATAATGAGGAAAGACCATAGAGTTCTTTTAAGTGTATGTGTGTATTTTTCCGAAACAAATCAAGTCAAGGCTAATTGATGTTCGGTTTAGCATACACGAAACGATGTTCTTCTTTTGTTTGTCTCGTTGATTTTTGCTTTGTGATAAACGAGAAAAGGAAAAGAAGAAGGGAACAAAAAAAAAAAGTCATATTTTTATTTTTACAAGTGTGTGCAGAAGATCGATATCTATTATAGCAGGAATAAAAGCGAGGAAAAATTATATTAATAAGAATTAGAATGAAATTAAATCTGTCTGTAAGGTGATTTTATAAGAGCTTTGATGTCAGAAAAATGGATAACTTTCACCATAAACAAAATTGAAAAGTATATTTGAATAGTTTTATCTATATTCCGACACTTTTATATTACGTTAATCATTCAACAAGGAGACTTTTGCGTAAATGTCATATGCACAATATTGTCAAGGATTCATATGATGAAATGAATTTAAAATGAACATACAAATTCAATGTTCAATAATATTTTGATGTTTTTCTTTATAAAAATATCATGAATTAAAATATCATTGATTATTAGCACGGTTAATTAGACAATTCTGTACGGTGTGATGAGATACATTGCGAGAAACTAAAGCCTTAAATTTACTATGGAGAAGAAGGATTTTTGAAACCCGTAACTACAATTTAGATTTCAGACATCTTCAATGGGAAAGAGGTAGACTTATGAATTAATTATGAATTTTCAAAGTCTACCTAAATCCAATCTCTAAAAATCCAGGAGCTAATAGAGACTTGTAGGCAGCTACGTAGACTTACGCAAACTTTTAGAGGCTTATGTAAATTTCGATGAACTTACGTGAACTTCTGTGATTTTCAAAGACTTTAATAGACTTGTAAAGTCTAATGTACTTTGGACTCGAATAGTTCTTAAAAGTATCTAAGTCCACGGGAGTCGACGTAAGTCCATTAAAATTTTTAAAAATCCAAAGCCTGCCTTTTCCTTCTTTGACATTTTTCATTGTATGTTTATCTAGGAATATTTTCGACAAACGAACGGCTTTACTTTCACCAATTACGTTATTCTCTTTGGAAAAGGAATTGGTATTTGATCTAAAAATAAAATGCAAATGTGTTGAAAAAGAGTTTTTTTGAACATCAAATTTGACGTTTGACATGTGTGCACTGTAGTTATTTTGATTGAAATTTCTTCAGACGTATAGAACATCTCCAACGTTGACGAAATCGTTGAAAATCTCTGATATTGTTCCGCTATACTTGATGAAAACTATCTCATTCACTCTGTAGTGCTTTTATTTGTTTCATCCGTTTAAATATTGCATAACAGTGTTTCGTTTCTTTTAAAAGTAGAATTATGATCAAGTAGTTCTTACACATGTTTCGTTTTTTTCTTTTTTCTTTTCTTCTCATCTCTTCTTTTTCTTTTTTCACTCAACGAACAAATAGTACAGTAAGATACTCATATACTCATGATGATCAAAAGAAATGAAGAAGAGGGGGAAATCACTTGTTTACAATATGAACACGGGACAAATTAGTGATTGTATCAAACAAAAAGAGCGATCTAATCATTTTGGGAAAAAAAAATCATCATCAAAGAACATACTCAAGTACTTCTTCTTTACTTTAATTATAGAAAACACCATCGTATGAAATGGACAAAAGCAATAAATCTTTATATGTATCATGTGCATTGAACAATTTTAAAAAATTAGAAAAATCAGTATTATTCAAAAAAACACCAAGGTAGGTAAGAAAAACTAGAAGAATTTAAATATCTTAATGTGCTAGAAAAAACCATTGAAATACTTCATACAAAATACCTTAATAGTCCAGAGTGGAGTCGTCTGTGTTTAATCTGATCCCAATTTCGGATCCACCAGTTCAAATTGAGAGTCGGAATTCCAAAAATTTTTTTTTCGAGTTCGGATTCGGAACGGAATCGAGTTTAAGAACGTCACGACCGCAGGACTCTGATACTAACGCTTCTTTCACGTTCAACAATACCTCTTTTTGTTAATTAAAAGTGGTAAATTTATTTCAGTATTTGTGTAGTTAATAATCCTACTCCTGTTGTGAAAGAGACACAATCACAACAAAATCCTGTGCAAAAATCGACTTATCCACTATTACAAATCGATAATAGTAAATTGTTTAACAACTTTTTAAAATGTTACTCAAAAACTATTCGACAACATTCAATTAATAATTCCAAATTTGTACAACCGAACAAGAAATTATTAGCTGTTCCACCACTAAATGATGAAAGAAAAACACTACGATCAAATATCGGTTTATTTCGACGTTTACGGAGTCAACAAAGTGAAATTAAAGAGTGTAATAAGGTAAACAGAACTTTTTATTGATTTATGTATACCATCAGGAAAACATTTTAAATATTATAAGAAATTGCGTATTAAAAATGATTTTATATACTAAAATATACTGTTTGTTGTTAGACCAGTTAAATAGATCCGCCGTAAAACAAAATAACTTTTTGACTATGCGATAGGACCTTTGTTTAACAGCGGTAAATTTGTACCTGTCATCTAGGAAAAATAAAGTTAATATCGTTTATGACATATTTTAGCATGTGTCATCCTCCCTCTGTAATGTCTTTTACCAATTACTTTCAGTTTTAACTAGCTAAATATTCCTGATTCCATTTAACTAAACGATAGGCTATTAAACTTCACTGTACGTATACGTTTATTTAAATATAGGATACGATAGAAACCATCTTTAATTTAAAAAAAGATAAAATTCGTTTATTTCTGCAATCTTTTAACGACCACCAGTGATTGTTCCATGTAAATCGTTGATTGTTTGTCCGAGTGAGTTTAATACATTCAAACCATGACCCAACAATTGATCTTGAAGTTGTTCCCAGTGTGGTTTTGATGCATCTAAAACTCCACTAACAACACCTGTTATATTGTCAACAACGTTGCTTATAGCCTGTTGACCAGCTGAAAGAATTGATGAAAATTGTTGGCTCAAACCTGAAAGAGAAAGAAGATGTGAGTGAGTGAGGATGATTTGTGATGCTGATATTTGTCAGCCTACCTGTCCAGATATCTGAGAATCCACGGCCACCGATTGCTCCCAAAACTGCTGATAAACCTTGATCTAAGAAGTGTTGTCCTAAACCAGTGATTGCTGGTGTAATTGAAGCTAAGAAATCGTTGAAGATTTGTGAAAGGTCCCATCCTGCACGTCCACCGAGGATACTTGAGAGATTGAAGATCGAGCCCAATGAGGCGCTGAGGTTATTGATGAGTGGAGCGACCAATGATTGAACAAGAGTCAAAATTTGGTCGAAATTAATGTTAAGGGAGCGACCTAAAAATGAGATGAAGGAATAAATAAAAAGAATGAAACTTCGTTGTTCCTTCTGTTACCTAAACTACCAGCTAAGTTTTGTAATTGTTGTGATGCTAGTTGTGCAACAACCAATATTTGTTGTGAAAGCAAGTTTAAAATTGATTGTGCAGCTAATTGACCTTGTTCAATTAATTGATCAACAAATGTTAAACGAGCATCTGTGGCCATACAGGCGCCAAAACAGGCAACGAAAATAATAGCTAATGCAGCGTTCATTTTTACTGATTTGTTTATCGAATATTCTAACCGTTAGTAAGTGACTATATTTTACGCTGTGAATAGTCTCTATTTATACTAGTTAGAACCACCTACTTGATTAATGCATCAATACTGATGTGAATAATCACATCTGCAATGATCTGATAAGGAATACGATCGCTTGTTTTTGAAATTAAGTCAAAGTACAAAGTTTAATTTTTCAAATGAGTAACATCCAGTTTTTCTGCCCTGCATATAGTGATTTTATCCAATGGAGCATTTTCGTTTCAAAAAAATAAAAATAAAAGACTGCTACTTATATAAATTAAGCAATTAAATTTAAACTATTAAATTTAGCAGTAGTTCTACTTTTAGCTGTGCACATGGGTTGATACAAACATCTCATGACTTGTCAAACACTTTATCAAAAATCTAGACACTTGGAATTTAAGACGGAATTTTACTCATCTGATGAGCTCTCTAACAATGATTATCCCGTGACAAAGATATTTAAATAGGATTGCTTGTATTTATTACAGTGTGTTCATATTACCATTTTATAAATATATTTTCAACGTAATACAAATCAGAAATGATCGATGCATGAACATTCAACACATTTATAATCGTGTCGCAAGCATTCTAAATCTGTTTATAGATCATTTTACTTTCTTCTAAAATATGACATGAATTTTAACAAAAAAGCAGAATATGTTCAATACAGACAGATTCCTATTTCAACATTGCGAGTAGAAATATTTTTATTCAAGAAAATCAATACAAAAAACTGATCGATTTCTCACTTGTACATTTACTGATATCTAATGTTTTCGTTATAACTTGATTGGCATTTGTTATCAAAACTGATTTTAATGATAAGTTCAAGAGAAGAAGCCATCGGTATTTTTTATCGTGTAAAAAAGAAATGTTCATTCGTTCTATCCAGAAAATAACCCAAAAGTGTACATATTTTTCTATATCAGAGTAATTCTTATCAAATTTCTTTACTTTTCTTGCAAGAAAAAAATACCCAAGTTTAATTTATCCACAAACATCTTTTCTCTTTATATAAATTGAAAACGACCTTGGTAGTAGACAAAGTATATCGTATGTACTACTTGGCACATACTTTTTTTCTCTTTTTTCAAAGGTGCAAACACAGATCTCTATTTACTTACATCAGTCTTAATGATCAAGAGAGCTCACAAATTATTCAATATTTATTTACCTCTATTCTGTTTTTAGACGCATTGCTGTGATAAATCGTCCATAAAAACATCAACAACATATTTTAATGATAAAGAAAATTCAGTCTTAACATCGACGATAAATAATCATTCAATCAAAATGACATATTTACAAAAGTATAATACTCAACAATTGAAAAGGTAAGAATAACTCCTGTTATTTAGAAGTAACAAAATAATGAAGGCTATCCAAAATTTCTTTCTAATTATCTTTTTATTTCATTCTTAGCCTTTGCAAATCGTGTTTTTAGAATGTAATGTCTATTTTCATGTAGGTATAATATTATTCAACAGCACTAAGACTTTCTTTTTAATGATTATCTCTAAAAAACTTTCTTTGATGGGAGAATCTCAACCAAACATGAAATAGGCACTTGTATCCAAATAAAAGGTACAATTGTCTGGCTCGCATCTAGCTGCAAGCAGATGCTGAAACTATTTTATCAACCAGATTCTCTCACTTATTTATTTTTGCATGTAATGAGCATATTCTATATGTAAATCACCTATTCAGATCCAAAAGATCAACATTTGTTAATCGTATATACTTATAGTATATACTTTTAGAGTTATATTCATCTTCTTACGTTGTTTTTCTCAATATTTGTCTAGATATGCGAGATCATTTATGAAAGTAAATACTCTCGAGTCGGTAATAGTTGAAAGTCATCAGAATATGTATGTATGTGAGTGTGTTTGTGTATATATATATATATATAAGAATTGTATAGACATTGTTCAAACAGCTGACCTTGCTATTATTAGGTATCATCATTATGAATGTCTATCGTCCAACGATAAAACTAATGAAATAATTCTTCTCTTAAAACTTATCTTCAACCATAATGATACCTACATATTATATATACATATTCTTTTTCAAGAGTCCAATCATCATCATCATCATCACATCATTGTGTCTGAATATTCAGTTGTCCATAACCTCTGAAACATATGTTGATAGAATCATTACAAGATAATATCACACCTCCATACCCGATGATTTATGACTAGCGGAGAAAATTTGATGAGAAAATATTTCCCACTGTGGAGAAAGAAAATAAAGTCTATTTGCTTTCAATTTTCCTCGAAAAATATCTGAACATATCCCCGTTCATTTCATATTTTCCTAATAAAAAAGGCATCAATTCTTAACGAAAGATTTTTAGTAAACAGTTGTTCACTCACTAATAGCACAGACATATCACTTGAAAACGTGAACAAATTTTAAAATTTTTATTTTATTTTTTTTTGAATGACCCATACTAGACAGAGATAAGAATTTGATGACAATCATTTCAAGGCTCAAATTACATCAGATGATTGTCTATCTGTTCATGAGGCAACACTGCAATCTATAGACTATGCAAGTATCAACCTTTTGAAATTTTAAGGACAACGATTTTTGACAAAATTGTATAATGATTGCAATTGATTTTAAAATTTAATTGTGCAATTTTTATACAAGTGTTAAATAACAAGAGTTCCATTAGAGAAGATTATACCTCGAAAGAGATTGTCCTATCTCCTACGATGAAATTTTCTGTATGAAACACTCGGAGACGTCAACGATCTTCTTCTTATTATCTTTTTGTTATAAACGGAAGAAATTTCTGTCCATCATGTGGGTGAGAATAGGTATGTCCAACAGTGTTCATAAATATCACATATACTTGGAAATTCTTCTCCTCTCTCAACATCATTATTAATTTGATTAGTCGAAAATTTTTTTTTTAAATAGCACGTACAATTGTCTAGTCATAAAACGATCACAACAATACTGTTTTTCAAGATGTCTTCTACAGATAGATAAAAGGTCATTCTCCGTACGATCAAAACAGTTGTCATATAATATTCTTTAATATAGTGTGTATATTTTCAGCTAGAGTTAATCGATTATTATTATTATTATTATTATTATGCATGGTCAAAAGTCACTAAACTATGAAGGTTTTTGATTTTTTTCTTTTTCTATTTCTAATCCATATATTATTGAGATCATTATCATTTTATTCCTTTTCCTTTTTTTTTTCGCAGAAAAATAATTGTAGTTAAGATTTTTTTCTTGTTCTCTGTAACAGTTTCTTTTCTCCCTCTCTCTCTCTCTCCCTCACACACACACACACACACATACAAAACAGAAATATTCGAATAAAAGACGAAGAGCATGTATGGCATTTAATGAAGCGGTTAATCAATAAAGTAATTAAGAAAGAGAGAATATGTACCATATGCGACATACATAGTCGTCTTTCATGCATGGTAAGTTTAATTTTAAAATTTTCTTTTCATCATATCAATCTGTATCATGTCGGAAATAACATACATTTACACTGATAGTAAAACTAGGCTAAGATTTTTTTTTATTATCTAATATGAAAAACAAAAAACAGAAAGTGGAATTACGATATCCACGATTGCATGTTTAACCTCTTAACTGTCGTTGATCACACAGACACACATTCACTCGTTTATATCAGAGGACATTCTTGAATTATACACGAGCTCTTTCTTTTTCTCTCTCTGATTGATGTTGTGTGCGTGTATATGGTTTTTACATTATTTTAATCAACTCAACAGAAAACAAAAGATAGTCAATTGTGTCAATTTTTTTTTTCCTTTTTGATTTAAAAATTTTTGGCGACATAACGGAAATAATAATAAAAATTTCTTCATACCCGAGACCTGAAGAAATCATCTAGGTTTTTTTATTATTATTTTTATTATTCTCACGAAAAACCAATAATGAAGAACTGACCACAGAAAAATTCTCTTCTTTTTCGCGACTATAAACCTTATTAGTCTATTATTCTAACTCAGTTTTTCTTTTCTTTTTCTATAAAAAATTTTTCTTCTACTCTGTCTTTTCTTGACACCTCTTTCTCTAAATCGAAAGATGATTTAAACCCGGATGTGTGTATTACATCACATACAAGATTTTCATTTATTTAATGTTCACCCCTGTATATATATTGACTTTGAATAAAAAAATAAAAAAAAATGTATAAAAAAATAAATTTGAAAAAAAAAAAATCACACACACAAACATTCAGGGTCGGAAACTTGTTTCCTGAATAAGAGTTAGTAAAAGAAATTGAATAAGAAAATTTCAAAAAAAAAAAAATTTGGTGTAAATATTAATAGAAAGAATAGTAAAGTATGGTCAATTTTATGTTAAACGGTCAATGATAAAATATGCTAATTGAAAGTTGAATGAAAAGGTTAGAATTGTGTCAAGTTATTAATTCATTTTACACTCGTAGTTAATCATTCCAGGTGGTTTTATTACCACTAAGAGTACTCATCCTTTAGATTTTGGGTAGAGGCTTTAGAAAGAAGAGAGATGGTATGAAATTTTCTTTATCAAAACTGCAAGCAAAATAGTGTAAACGGTATTTGGTTCAGGTGTATCGTGATATAGTTTCTTTTCTTTTCACATGTTTGTCTATCAGATTATTTTTCTTTCTCAGTCATAGTGTCTAGTTCTAAAACCATATTTCACATTTTATCTGTTTATTAAATAATTTAGCGGCCAGTTCAAATTAGTTTCACTTAACGTTGTGAGTGATATTGACTGCTGATTTTTATTACTGTGAAAAATATTGTCGACAGCCTATGTTCTTTTTATTCTTCATAATGAAAAAAAATGAAAATTGAGTTTTATTATTGAGCAAGAGTCATCCTCCGAATCCTCGTTCACAGTATTTATCAAGGCATGTTCAT